TTCTTTGACCTCTGCAGAGTGGGTTCACTCTAAACCTGCTTCCTCAACTGCAAAATGGAATTAATTAAATCTATTTATGGGGTTGGATTAGCTAATGTATGTAAAGCCCAGCACACAGTTACATGGTTGCTTTAGAATTATCATTCAACATATACTGTATTTTGTTCGTCTTTATTTGAAAATTTTCCCCCATTTACCTTTCTCCTCTAGGTATGTATCTAATTATTTGGAGGGTAGGGATGGTGTTGTTTCAAGATCATTTTGAAATCTATTTCTATCTTTCTTTTGTTTTTGTTTGTTTGTTTGTTTGTTTTGTTTGTTGTTGTTGTTGAGACAGAGTTTCACTTATCAACCCCTGGTAGAGTGCTATGGTGTCACAGCTCACAGCAACCTCCAACTCCTTGGGCTTAGGCAATTCTCTTGCCTCAGCCTCCCGAGCAGCTGGGACTACAGGCGCCTGCCACAACGCCCGGCTATTTTTTTGTTGCAGTTTGGCTGAGGCTGGGTTTGAACCCATCACCCTCGGTATATGGAGCTGGCGCCCTACTCACTGAGCCACAGGCACCACCCTGTGTTTTTGTTTTTGAGACAGAGCCTCAAGCTATTGCCCTAGGTAGACTACTGTGGCATCACAGTTCACAGCAACCTCCAACTCCTGGGCTCAAGCGATTCTCCTGCCTCCACCTCCCAAGTAGCTGGGACTACAGGCACCTGACACAACGCCTAGCTATTTTTTGGTTGCAGCTGTCATTGTTGTTTGGCAGGCCCAGGCTGGATTTGAACCCACCAGCTCAGGTGTATGTGGCTAGCACCTTAGCTGCTTGAGCCACAGGCGCCAAGCCCTATTTCTCTCTTTCTACACCCTCATTTTTCCATCTATCTTCTGTCCATCCCAGTGTAAGGTATGCATTCATGACTTCTAGTACGGAGACTATGAGTTTGAGTAAATACCTAAATAAGTGAAATAAATACCGCTCATAGGTCCTTTGATGGGTTTATATGAGCACGAAGAAGGAAATGGACAAATAATGGATCCAGAATGATTTACAGAGGAAGTGATTCTTCAGCCAGCCTTAAAATACTAAATTTCAAATAAAGAATCACTAGGTTTGAACCTATGTTCTGCCATATACCAGCTGTGGGTGAGTTAACAAATCTGGCTAAATGTCAGTCTCCCTCAGGTATTTAATTAATAGGAGCCCCAAGGAATTGACAGATGATAAATTTTCAGTCCGTGCTATTTCTCTCTCCTTCTTCCTGTTCCCTGTCTGACCTTTGCCACTGTCTTCTCCCTACCAAATTTTTCCTCTGCCTTCTTTCTCTGTTCTTTATTTAGTTGGTGTCACCTGGAAGCATAATAAACTTCCCACTTACAAAGAAAAAATATGAAACGTGTGGGCTATAAGTGGATCCATGGAAATGGTACTCATGGAGATGCTGGTCCAGGGACAATTTCCATGGTTACCCACACAGCTGGTGTGGGTAACCATGCAATTGTCCCTGGTGTGCCTTAAGCCATGTCTTCCCAGCTTTTTGAGAAAAGTGTAATACAGGGCTGAAACAGAAGTTCTGTCAAAGATGGAGATGAATGTTGCCTACAGCATCCTTTCAACCTACAAATCCTGAAGATCTTTCATCTCAACTTCACTTAAAATGAAGTCGGTCTTATAATAAATGCTTTTTCGCAATTTATTTTGTGATAACTTTTTAACAAGGCTGTCCTGGAACTACAGATGAAAATCTCAGATTTCCTAGGTCAATTCTTTACTCTCAGTGAGGAAGATTTAATTTCTTCCTGTAGACTGCCGTATCAAGAAGGCACAGGGAAACTGAAAGGAATTCAGTTTGCTTCTGTAGAGAAGAAAAGATTGGGAGGTAAGTTAATACTGGACAGCAGCCAGTGGAGGTGGCAGGTCCCTTTGTCCAGTCCTTTCTCTGACCTAGAGAAGAAAGGGGGGTCTACCACCCCTGCTAGGAATGTGATCAGTCCTGACTTCAGCTGTGGTTGATACCATGGCTCCAACCTGAGTTTATCATCTTCTGCTTTCTTTCCACAGAGACAGTTATCATTCAAATCTGCCTGCTGCCCCAGTGCATAATCTTACGGCTTTCATTCTCTCCTGCCTTCCCAATCTCACAATGAGGTAGGCACCTGCCTTCAAAGTACTTAGAATCAAAACACGATGAAGCTGAATACACTAGAAGGTAGGGTGTGAGAAGAGGTGGGATGATTAATCTCTCCTCCAACAGGGGAAAGTGGAGGTCACTCTGAGCTGAGCTGGTAAAAATGGCTTCCTGGATGAGATCCGGGTGTGTTCTCCACGGTGTGTGGGGGGGGCTGCTCTAGAGAGTGGCTGAGGACACGAACTGCAAGCAAGGCTGCCCTTGTTTGAAGAAACTCAGCTCTGCCAATAACGAGCTGTGAGACTGGGGCAAATGTCTTCTCCTCTCTGTGCCTCGGTCCCTTCCTCCCTGAAATAAGAACAGTACGTGTAATAATCCTGCCCACCTCCCAGACTTGCGGGCAGGATGAAGAGAGCTTGGATATGGGAGCACATGGCACGTAGTGAGTGCTCACAGGATTACTGACGACTGTTGTGTTTGACACGGTTTTCTTGAGAATGGGCAGTGTGTACACGAGTGTACAGAATCCTGTCCAGGGAATGGATTACTTCTCTCTGGGAGGAGTGTGTGTTTAAGACACTGGCTGGAATGACTCCTAATGTTGTCTCAGGCGAAATGCTTTGCAATTGGTGCAGCTCGGCTCTCACACGCGTGTACCCGATAGGGCTGTGTCTGGTCTGTAAACACGCGGGGGAGCCCACGCTGCCTGGCGACTGGGGCCACCGAATGTGAGACCGTGCCCTGCTTGTCACCAGCGCACACGCTGCTTTGAACCCTGCCTCGACGTGCATGTCATGGCTTAAAAATAGATGCTAATCCGTCCTCCTGTCTCGGGCGGTGGCAGCGGCAGTAGGGAGGCGGCGGCGGCGGCGGCGGGAGAGTCATGGCCGTGGCGCTGCCTGCGCCTGCAATCCGCCTTGGGGACTGAGGCCCCGTGCACTGCGCACAAAGAGGTAGAGGGGCTGCGGCGGGTCTTGGCCTTCCCACCTGGCGTGCCAGGCTGGGGAGAGGCGCCTGGGTCGGGGAGACGGGGGAGGGAGGGGACAGGGAAGGGGACATCAGAGCCGAGCGAGCTAGCAGCCTGCGCCTTTCTGGACGCGCTCCCTCCACCCTGAGCGCCAGGCTGCCTGGGTTGGCAAGGGGTGCGGCGACAGCCATGAACCTGTTACAACCGCGGCAGAGAGCGGGGTGCGGGAGGCAGCGGAGCAGGGCCCCCGAAAGCCTACTGGTGGGGCCGTAGAATGCCCAGGAGTGTAGCCAGGGACAGAATGGGGCTTCTCCACATCCCTGGGGAGAAATAGAGTCTCAGAAAGCTCCTTCCTAGACCGGGACTGCTTCCCGCCTCCCGATTACCATTCACCATCACGCAGGCAGCAGAATCGATTAAGAGACAAGGTGTAGGAATAAAGTGATGGAGTCTTTAGGCCGGAGGAGGAGGAGAGGGGGGTGATGAGGGTGATGGTGGTGGTGGCGGTGATGGCTGTAGTGCTAGATTTCCCTGCACCTGACCCCGCCATTGAAAAAAAGAAAACCTCTCAATCTTCCCTCACCTGCCCTGATCCTAAAATCCCTGCCTCTTATGCCCCCAAAGTGCTTGGTCTCTCCTGGCCTGGGGGAAGGGAGAGCTGAGCCCTGGCTGCAGGTGTGGGATGGGGTCAAAACCTGGCCAGGGACAAAGATGGCCTCTCCCTGCTGGTCATTGGGTCTAAAGTCCCTGAGTGGGGGGAGGGTGAATGGGAGGAGGTTCTACAGGCTGCATGGCCTGGTCCAGGAGGAAGTGGCAGGTCTGGCCATAGTTGCCTCCGTGCCAGAAGGTCCCAGGCCAAGCCTCAAAACCTGGCCCTCTGCAGCTCAAAGGCTGGCCCCAAAGGAGGGTCGGCTGCCCACAGGGAGTCTGAGACACACCTGCTAAGCCCCTCATTGCTGCCCCCCTGTGCTGTGTGGGGTCACTTGACGTCTACAGCAGTACAGATGTTAATTCTGAGCCTCTGAGCCGGGCAGGGCAGGGGATGATCCTTTTCCCCCTTCCTTCCCCTCCCAGACCCCCACCATCAGCCTCCTCCCCACACAGACACAGCAACATGCCCCGCTTCAGCTCAGAAACATTCCCATTATGCATCAGGCCTGATGCCGATCACAGCAGGGTGGCGTGCTGTTGTGCGCATGGACTGGCACCCTCTTCCATGAGCTCATGCATTCAGCAAGTATTTGTCCCAAACTTACTCTCCTCTTCCCTGCTATTCCCCGCTCACCCCATCCCTGCTCACACCCTTTCTCATGACAGGATTCCCTCTGAGGCAATGGCAGGGCAGGAAGGGGTTAAGGCAGTCCCTCTCTGGCAGAGGTGGGAGGTCTGCCATGTGTCATGGCCCCAGCTGCAGTTGTCTTCCTGCTGATTCCTTCTGGGTGGGTCCAAAGCCACCCCGAATCCCAAATCCCACGCCCTCGCCTTAGACTCTACCTATAGCCCCAGGCAGAAGAGACCCGGCAGAGGGCACTGCCACCCCGGTGCCAGACATATGTCCCTGTGTGTTTCTGGATGTGTGCTGGCAGTGGGGGTGGGGTGGTGGAGCAGAAACCTAGCAGCTGGGCAGCTCCTTCTCTCCGTAAACAAGGACATGTGACTTTCCCACCTCCTTGTCTGGCAGAGCCAAAGAGCTGAGCGAACCGGTTTGAAGGAAAAGCCCAACCTGGAGGCCTAGCAGGGCCAGAGTGTCTCTCCCTGAGAATCTTCTCTCCCAGGCCCAACCCCACTGGCAGGAGGGGAGCAACTAGTCTGTCTCACACCCTTCCTCTTCCAGCAACTGCTACCTGGTGACTGACCCCACCATCACGCGGCCACCCCTGCAGCTGCCACGGTTTCTGCCACCTCTAAGATGTGCCCTGGTAACTGGCTGTGGGCGTCCATGACGTTTATGGCCCGCTTCTCCCGGAGCAGCTCAAGGTCTCCTGTTCGCACTCGAGGGAGCCTGGAGGAGATGCCAACCGTTCAACACCCTTTCCTCAACGTGTTCGAGTTGGAGCGGCTCCTGTACACAGGCAAGACAGCCTGTAACCATGCCGACGAGGTCTGGCCAGGCCTCTACCTCGGAGACCAGTACGTACCGGGCAGACTGGGACCACACCTGCATGTGTGTGTGTGTAAAGAAAGACAGGGATGGCAGACAGACCCTGGGTTGTGCCATTGGTTCCAGATTGAGGACTAGGAGGGCACATGGATAGAGAGTAGAAGGTGAAGAGTTTGGGAGAGTTTGAGCAAGATTATTGAAATCCCCAACTCTGGACAGAAATATTACAGGACTCTTTTCCCATAATAATGTCGTGCATAGCAAATATTTATTACCGAGTGCCAATGCCCCATTGTGAGAAGCAGGCACAATAGATGACTTCTCTGACCTTCCATCTATTGTGCTGTGGCTCTGGGAAAAGGCCCTCACTGGGAGCCAAGAACAGCAGGTAGTAAGCTGACATGATTCCTCTGGAGAGCAAGCAAAGTCACAGTGTCTGCAGATTTTGCAAGTTGGGGGCTACGGAAAGAAAAACATCCAAGGAAAAGCAATCTCAAGGCTTAGTGCCTGTAGCTCAGTGGCTAGGACACCAGCCACATACACCGGAGCTGGCGGGTTCGAACCCAGCCCAGCCCTGCCAAAGAACAATGACAACTACAACCGAAAAATAGCTGGGCATTGTGGCAGGTGCCTGTAGTCCCATCTAGTTGGGAGGCTGAGGCAATAGAGTCACTTAAGCCCAAAGAGTTAAAGGTTGCTATGAGCTGTGACGCTATGGCCCAAAGAGTTAGAGGTTGCTGTGAGCTGTGACACTATGGCACTCTACAGAGGGCGACATTATGAGACTCTGTCTCAAAGACAAAAAAAGAAAAGAAAAGCAGTCTCCACTTCTCTCCCTCCAGGGCTTTTTTCACATGCATTTTCTCTGTTAATCTTCACAACAGCATGGTGAAAGGCAGGGTACCACTATCCTCAGGTTATAGATGAGGAAACTGCTGCCCAGAAGAGGTGCGACTGACCCAAGGTCACACAGGGCGAAAGTTACAGAGCCAGGGCTTGGAAGTTCAAGTTCAGTGCTCTACTGAAGGAATTTGCACAGGATAGGGCATTTGTCCTGAGATATGACCATGTTGCCCGAGAAGTGTCTACCCCTAAGCCAAGGGGTATGGACCAGATCAACGCTTGAAGGTAACATCATAAAACAGGGTAAACATGAGCCACATACTAACTGCCAAAATAGAAGAAGATTCCAGGTATCAAAGAAACTGGGGAATTAGGTGTGAGTGTCAGAACCATATCCCCTCAAGGTTAGCAGGGACATAAACATGAGCAGGTCCCACAGCACACCTGACGCTCAAATCCCCTCTGCAACACCCACGCCTACACACTGATCTCCTCTTTCTTTTTTTCTTTTTCTTTCTTTCTTTTTTTTTTTTTTTAGACAGAGTCTCACTTTGTCACCCTTGGTAGAGTGCTGTGGCATCATAGCTCACAGCAACCTCAAACTTTTGTACTTAAGTGATTCTCTTGTCTCAGCCTCCCAAGTAGCTGGGACTACAGGCACCTGCTACAACAACCAGCTGTTTTTAGAGACGGGGTCTCACTTTTGCTTGGGCTGGTCTCAAACCAGCTCAGTCCACCTGCCTCGGCCTCCCAGGTGCTGGGATTACAGGCATGAGCCACCGTGCCTGGCCCTAATCCCCTCTTTCTGCCTGAGTACCTCAGTGACAGGAAAACCACTCCTTCAAAGTACACTAAATTTTCTTCAGCTTGATTGCCCTCTTAGGACGTACTCCCCTGCATGAAATGGAAATTTCTTTTTCTGGTGCTTCAACTCTTCAATCTTAGTTCTTCTACCCTTTGGACCCAACAGGTCAAGGAAAATCTCACTTCCTCAAAGCACTCACTCAGTATTTCCTTACGGCTGTTTTCACCTCACCACCTTAGTCTTCTCTTCTCAGGCAAAACATTCCTAGTATGCTCAACCACTGCTCAGTGGAGGAGACTCCAAGTCATTGCTTACCTTTGTCCTTCCCTTCTGGGTCACTAGTAAGTAGAATAGAGGCCTAGGACAATGATAGCATCTAGGCAGTTGACAGGGCTTACACAAGGGACTCTCCCAACAACCTGGCTTTTCTATCCTCCCTCTAACCTCTACTCCACGCAGGGACATGGCTAACAACCGCCGAGAGCTTCGTCGCCTGGGCATCACCCACGTCCTCAATGCGTCCCACAGCAGGTGGCGAGGCCCACCTGAGGCCTACCAGGCCCTGGGCATCCGCTACCTGGGAGTGGAGGCCCACGACTCGCCAGCCTTCGACATAAGCATCCACTTCCAAACAGCTGCCGACTTCATCCACCGGGCTCTGAGCCAGCCAGGAGGTAGGAATTAAAGCACGGAGAGGGCGGTAGACCTGGAGTTGGGGAGAGGCCCACAGGTTCAGCTGTGAAAGAGTTTTTGGTGGCCGGACAAAACACTCAGGCCCATGTTAAGAAAACAAAGAAGCCGGGTGCAGTGGCTCACGCCTGTAATTCTAACACTCTGGGAGGCTGAGGCAGGTGGATTGCTTGAGCTCATAAGTTCAAGACAAGCCTGAGCAAAAAGTGAGACACTGTCTCTAATAAAAATAGAAAAACTGACATGAAAAGATCATTTGAGCCCC